ACGGGTTGGCCAGCTCTGACCAGCGCTGGCGCGGGTCGGCCAGCATCGTCTCACGCCGACGCGGGTGCACCGCCTCAGCTGAACTCCTTGGTGCTTTTTCTGATTTTTCGGGACTTGTATTTTCTGCCGTTTTACGTATTTGATCGTCCTGTTGTTGTACGTTTCGTTAACTTGCTTCATACGCTCATTTAGCTTCTTTATGACACTTAGAGCTGACCGACAAGGGCGGCAGGCACTTGGAGCTGACTGTCACGTGCGGGCTAACTGACGTGCGTGTTCGGTCACTTTGAGTTGACCAACACACGCGTGCTGACTGACGTGCACGTGCTAACTAACATGCGCAAGCTGACCGATGTTCGCAGTGGCCAATTGGATAATCATTCTTGACTCGGATGGTGACGTTCATCATATTTTCGTCGTCTCGAGCTATGTGCGGACACCTATAGGTATTTTTAGACGCCTACAACTTGGAGATGACATAAACTCAATCGATTCATTTTCTAAGTCAAGCATGCTTCCAGGCTTGAGACGACGGTACCAATCGAATGTGGGCCCACTAAGGGTGCATACGAATGACAGAACCATCAATGCTTCATCACCGGAGATTATGCTCAAGTGGGACTTGAAGTAGATCAGGTGCTGAGTGGGCGAACCCTTCCCGTCAAACGACGTGAAGTTAATCAGGTTGAACTTTACCGGATACGGGATCGACTCCCACTCTCTTGGGTAAGAACATAAAATACCGGTCTTCTTCACCTCCCGAGCAGACATTAGAGCTTTGATTTTGCTCTCGAGATTTTTCATCTTCTCATCCTCGTCTGTATCATGCTTTGAACGATTTCTAAGAGGAGCAATGTGGCCACCCCTGGTATTGTCATCTTCGGTGGGACTACCCCCAGCGTTGTTACCTTTAGTGAGGCTACCTCCAACATTTTGATCAACGGGAGGGTTATCCGCATCAAGGTGTTCGTCCATGTCTGAATCGTCACCTATCCGGTAGGCATTATTGTGATGACTAGATTCACCAATTTGATTAGACATGGCCCGAATCTGTTGGTCATGCTCTTCCCTTATCTGCTGTGTAGCTATTTTCATTTCAATTTTGAATGCTTCTTTCTGCTTGACTAGAGCATCCTTAACCATTTTGGCTACTTTCTCGGTGTTAATCATAAACACTTCGTGCGATTATTCCGGACTGGATATCGTTTTGTCGGAAGTGATTGTAGAGTTATCATCTGATGCTTTATCATCCGAGGATAGTCCCCTCTGTATTCTCTGATAATCCCTTTGTCTAATGGTTCCTGATCGCAACCGGGTTAGACGATGCGATATGAGCAGGTCAGAACTAAAAGGTCGAGACGACTTTCCCTTATCAGCCATGCTTCAGCCATGTTAATTATGACTTCTGAAAGTCCGAGGATTAACGTAGCCTGATTGGCGAAGAGAGACATCGAACTTCAGTGAAGTTTTGCCCTAATGGTGAGCATGGTGGAGTTAAGAGTTAGAGATGAGCTTGGTGGACTCGAAGGTGGAAGTGAGAGGTGGAGGCAGCTTGGTGGAGTTAGAGGTGGAGAAGTGAGAAGTGGAGGCGAGCTTCGTGGACGCGAGCGGTTGAGTTAGAGGTGGAGAAACATCAAGATCCAGTTGGAGGTGGAGACTTTAGTGGAGGCGAGAGGTGGAATCGGAAGCAGACAAGTTAAGTCACAAATTGGGTCAATTTGGGGGCAAGAGAGTAGGGATCTGAGGAGTTAAAGGCAGTAGAGTGTGAAAAGAGAAGCTAGGGCTCGGTTGGGTATTTTAGAGGTGGGGGAAGGGGGTATATACGAGACTGCTAGTCCCGTCGATTTTGCTAACTCATACAACAATAGATTATCGATTGCCGATGACACGGGGCTACTAGTCCCGTGTGACTTAAAAACATCAAGTTTGCAAAATTGACCTGGTTTTGGTCAGTAATGATGAGCTGGCCAAAAAGTTGTGGATTTTGCTAATTTTATTATAAAAATATCGACTTTGCTTATATTGTTTCAAAAAAGGTCTATTTTTAAAAAAATTCTCAGGATTTTTTTCATGAAAACCATTTTTAAAACAGGTCAAATCGATGGAAGAAAAAGGTGATTTTCATGATAAAACCCTATATATCATGGTAAATAAAAATTTGTTAAAATATCCCTAGAGATAATTTTATACTCTAAACATCTCTACAAATTAAGCACCTTATTTCGTAGGTTGAACATGTAATCTCAAAGGGCCCTGACATTATATTAAAACTTTGAATTTGTAATGAGAATTACGAATTATAATTTAATAGTTCGTTGATGATTGTAGTTTTATATTCTAACAAATTGTAACTGACTTGCTCATGTGTAAATTTAATTACACTTAATGCTCTTCAACTTGTTTATTAGCATGTAGCTAGCTTCTCTCAATTCTCGAAGGAGAAAGGTGTTACTTGAAGCTTAATCTTCTAAAAATTGCAACTCAGGGGTGTTAGTGCTAATAAACAAGTTGAGAATATTAAGTTGGTGGGGGGGACGGGGGCTGGGGGTCGAGTATGTGCAATATCCTATTTCTTATTGGGTTATTCAAAATATTGTCAACTGTTAAATCATTAGACATCAGGATTCATGCATGAATTTAATGGTTAACATTTATTTAAATACCAAAGATTTGAGTCTGAAAACCGGGAAATATATCAAGTAGACTTTGATCCATGCCATCAAAGTACACCATTGAATATCAAGCATTAGATCATATGATTTTGAGATTTGTGATGGACCGTCTCCATGAATAGTTCCCGTACTGAGTTGAGATTGGTGGCCCGTATAAAGACATGCCGTTGATAAAATTAGCATCTCTCACTGCTGCTAATTTTCTCTGACTAAAGTCCTGTTTTTTTAGCTTTCTTTCTTGTGAGCCCTTCCTTTGCGTGCGCAGTTGATAAAATTCTCTTCAATACCTCAAAATCGGCAAAAAAGACACCTTTCCTTCGCTCTCTCTCCTGCATATCTTTCCCCCTGTTTTACGATTTCCCGCTTCCCATTCGTCACATCAAATAAAAAAGAGTCGAATATATCGTGTCTTTCGAATGTACGTGACTTCCTCAACTGATACACGCTAGCTCCTTAGTTCTTCAATACATATCCCCATTTGTGCAATTACAAGATTTACAGTTTATGCATCTATATGGATAAAATTGAGATTACTGACTGATATTATGCGAAGTATAATCTCCCGCAGCGATCTCAAATTTATCCATGTAGATACACAGATCTCATGATCACATTTGTATTTACACCATCTCGTAGGATTCAGATCATCTTTACTATCTAAAAAGTAGTGGATGGACCACTACATAATCACAACCATTGATTACCTAGTTGGTAGTTGTAATTTTTTCTTTTAGTACAAATTAAGAATGACTGCAATACACAGGGATATGATAACTGTTAGATTTATAGATTGTATCATAACCGCCTATTAAATAATCAACGATTGAGATTAAAAATAATGGTCTCTCCACTACTTTTTTTTTGTAGCGGAGAGGATTTATTTTTCATCTTGTATACACATTTGTCTCAATGATCATATATATATATATGGGAAAAATGAATCTAAGGTGACACCCTAGACTCTCACCTAAGGACGCGGTCTAAAATAACATCATTCCCTATTTTATTTTTTTTGCGATCCGCTCCGTTGAACTTGATCTACACGTTCTTAAACCCAAACACACCAATTTTAGGGTGAACCCGTCGTGTTTTGACTATTTATCCACTCGCTGCAATTTTAACGGTTTCGAATGAATAGAACTTTTTGTATGGGTCAACGAATGGTCAAAACACAATAGGTTCACCCCAAAATTGGTGTGTTTGAATTTAAGAACGTGTAGATCAAGTTTAACGGAGCGGATCGTAAAAAAAAATTTAGAAAATGATATGATTTTAGGCCGCGTCCTTAGGTGGGAGCCTAGGGTGTCACCTTAGATTCAATTTTCCCATATCACTTAATATATAGGTTAGCCATTACATTAACAATAACTTCTAATGACAATACAAAACATCACATTACTTCACGTTAACCCTTCCCCGGCTAAATCCACCCTGCTCTTTCCGCTGAAGCTGATTTAATCAGCTAATAAGTAGAAAAGGTAACCTAATACTAATTGATCACCTTAATTACAAAAAAGGGGCAGAGGAAAAGGAAATAGTCATCAAGCCTAATCCTAACCCTAATAATTTTTTTTTCCAGCACAAAGGAATCAGAGGAAGATGAAGCATTCCATGGAAACGAGCGGATTCTCCAGAGATTCCTCCGCCTCAGAGGTTGGTACATTATTACAATCTTGCCGCGCCGCAAGCTGTTGGCCGCCACCAAATCCCCAGGCCCCTGCGCCGCCGGTACTCTCCCTCATTGAGGAGAAGATCGCCCTTTCGTCGTCGTCGTCGTCGTCGCCGCTGGTTCTGGCGCACAAAAAGATCTCATCTTGCTGTCATTGTCTGCGGGAGACGCCGATCTCCTCCCCGATCTCTCCCCGGTATCTCTCCTCGAAGAAATCGAGCGATTCTTCAATGGCGACGGCGCTGATCTCGAGGTTCTGCATCCCACGTCGACTGCTCTCATCTCTCTCTTCTTCGTAGCAGAAGCAACAGCGGCGGGAAAATCTCTGTGGTCTGAGGATCGAGAATTTGTTCTCTTGTGAACGACTTTTGCCGGAGACTGAGATCTCGATCTCGGTCTCGGTCTCGGTCTCGTCTTCTTCTTCTCGGAGATTCCGACCTCTTCTTCCTCCTCATCTCCTGCTTTGCTCTGCTCCGTGAAAGCTGCAGTAGCGGTGGTTGTGGCTGACTCGCTCGGGGTTGGGGTTGCGTCGCCGTTGACTCCAGGTTCTTCTTTCTCTTCACCATCGTCATTGCCCCTGCTCCTGCTTCTTTTGACAATTTCGTCATCTTTTGATCTTACCGCTGCTAGTTTGGGGGTTTCTGAGAGCACCTCCTTCACTTTCTCCTCCTCTTGAGGCGATTCCGTCGGCGGCGGATCCCTGCAATCCTGAATGGGCTTCGACTTCTCCCCACTGCCGACGGAATCCTTGCTCCTCTTCTTCTTCTTCTTGCTGAAGCAAACCCCCATTTTTGAGTCTCTCCAATTAGTCCGCCCCCTAAAAAAGAGGCATTTTGACCAAATTTTGCCCTGCGATTTCTTTTTGGTGGGGTTTTTTTTTTTTTTTTAAATAAAATTTTTAATGGAGACGAAGTAGCGGTAGGGGTAGCTGTGTAGTCATTAATAAAGCGGAGTATTTATCGGGAGGATGGATTGTGGAGACAGGTGGAGGGAGCAGCTGTATACTTCATTTATTTTTTTTGGGTTTTTTTCCATGCCAGTCCCTTACCTTTGATATTTAGAAATGCAGTCCTCAACCCACTGAAATTGCTATTAGCCCCTCAAGCTCTTTTAGTTGTTTCAAATTAGTCCGTCGAGGTGGCTATTACTTCATTTGGTGAGAGCATTCCATTTAACTTAACATTTTGTCATGAATTTTCGGTTGTACTTGTTTGTATATGTTATTCCAAATGAATACTCGTTGCGCTGATAAGGGGACAACTAATTGAGGGTTGAAATGTAATTCACCATGTGAAGTTAATAACGTACCTTGCATGAGGTAGCAATTCAGAGGAAGTGACTAATAAAGGGACTAGTTTGAAATAAATAATAAGATTTGAGGATTTAAATGGTAATTTTTAATGATATGAGGGACAAATTTTAAAATATTACAGATGTACGAGGCAAATTTGTAAAAAATATTGTTGCCTTTTTTTAAATTTCTCTTCAGTAAATCAATTGACAGCATTAATGTCATGGATCTAGCGTGCTTCCATTGCTGTATTTGGTGGTGCATGTTCTGTCCCAAGCCCCATAACTTTTTTGTTTACAGTTAGTTATATAATAAATTATTTTACTTGCAAATGCGATAGGACATTCAATACCAGCGGGTTTAAGGTTGATAATGGAGAACTTTAATAACTACGTTTGGACCTTAAATTTTTTGTTCTTTGCATATGTCAATCAATATTATGCAGAGTACAGAAAAGAGATCAAAGGGAGGCTCTCATTGGATTCCCTTCTTTCATTAGAACCTAATAATAATGTTATTATATATGTATATATTAAGAAATTGAAGATCTAAGAGATGATGACAATGGTGATGATCATGTGGATTATTTCTGAAACTGATGATGCTATCTACACTCTATTGGACATCTCAAGAGAAGGCTATAACTGGATCCAAGCTGCTTGAGTTGAGGGGACCACCTTTATATCTTAATGACCCAATAATAAACCCAAACTAGCTTATTGTTGGTTGGATGTATGTGCTTGTCTCATTTCATGTTGATACATGTTCTCCGGTTTGCATTAATATTGCTTCCCTTCTTAGCTCTAGCTAGCTATCGCCTACCTTCACTCTGTTTGCTTGAGTTGGCCAATTGATGTTGAGATTATTGGGATTGCTCACCATTAGTCAAAAGAGAGAAAAATGATTTAACATTGCAATTTTTTTTAGGGAAAATTGTGTCTAGGCCCCAAAATATTAAAGGAGATGTGAGTAGGCCCCATGTATTATTTTTTGGATGCCAAAGCCCCCAGTACACAACATTCTTATGTTTCAGCCCTTTTTACGTTTCCCAGACCGCACAGAGAGAAAAAAGACGAAAACCTAAAACTGCCCTTTCCCTCTGTTCCCCCCAAAACCAGGTTGTCTCTCTCTCTCTCTCTCTCTCTCTCTCTCTCTCTCTCTCTCTCTCTCGCGCGCGCGCGCGCGCGCTTCGCTCTCTGCAAACCAAGCTCATCTCGAGACCCATTTTGAAAACCTTAATTCACTCAAGCGTCCAGGAAAACTACACAGAAAAATGCCCAAAAAAAATTTAAGAAGAAATGGCGAGAAGCCCGTGGAAGAGAAGGGTGAAGGAGACAAAATGCAGACGGAAGTGCTTTGTCACCGACGACGCTCGGTGCAATTGGCAAAGGAGGAAATGCCAATGTTATCCGCCTCCGCCTCAGTCTATGCCCTCATATCTCCCGCCGGTGATTCTCCTCCGACATCCTCTGAGGAGGAGGAGAGTAATGAGGCGACAGAAACCCTATTGAGCATGAAAAGGGTACTGGAAAATCGAGAGGGGAAGAGGAAACGCTCAGCGAAAGAAGCGTTCACCTCAAAGAAGAAGTAAGTTCCCAATAAATTACGTGATTTTGAATTTAATTAATTTAATTGAGTGATTTGTATTTAATTGAGGTTTATTGGTTCTGTTTATGAGAAAATATTGGTCAGAAACTGGTTATTGTAGTGTAGAACCAGGTTCTTACTTTTGGAGCAATGAATGTCAATAATTCTCGTATGTTGTAGACGTTTACCCTTAAGTGTTAACTATTAGCTATTCATGTTAATAAATATTAACTTGTAATTAGTTAATGCCTTTACTATTAACTGTTACCTAATTTGAATTTGAACGATTTGTTGTTTATGCAGGAAAGTTGATGCTGTAGGTAATGTAAGGCCTAGTGCATGTTTCGGATCGTATTGTATATTCATGCAAAAACTTTAACCAAAAATAAAGAAGTGGTATTGGGATGCCTACATGGGCACTAACTTTGAGCACTATGTATTCTTCGGACCTCCAGCACATGATCGACGGGCACTAGAGCATGTGCTCAGTCATTATGATACCAAAAATGACGAATTCTCTTTTCTCGATCCCCAAATATGGTCTCTAGTTTCAGTCAAATTTGATGAAGAGTGGGTATAAACCCACACGTGCTTCCCTATTGATGTGGAGTTGATCTATGGGAATAGAGACCCTCACAACCGGCTTTGGAGGGAGTTCTTTAAAGATAAGAAAGAAATGTTGAAGGACAAGGCAAAGGTAAAGGCCGGGGCTACAGAAGAAGCTGGTAGCATGAGGAAATATATTGAAGAGTTACTGGAGTCACTTGTTGTGTCAAGTGATAATAAGGACATTGAGGATTTTGTGCTTCTTTAGATTTTGTACCAGTGTTCAATGATTTGGTGCCCGAATAGCTCGCAAGGCATCCCAAGATTGTTGTTTCAATATGTTGATAGTATTGAGAGAGTGAAGAGCATTGTCTGGGGCAAATTTATTTTTGACGAGACAAAGAGAGGCATTCAAATTGGCGTTGAAGGGTTAAGGAAGCCAGTGGTTACGTACGTACCCGGATGCATGCCGCTTATCCCTGTAAGTTGCATGTTCATATATGGTTTAACATTTGTTTTAGTTATTAATAGTTTTGGTTACATGCATTAGATAACATGTTCAAGATTGAATGTTAACAGGATTTGGTGAAAATTAACATGTAAACATAAAAGTTAACATGGAAACCTGATAACTTAACATGTTTAATTGAAAGTTAACATGTATTCATTAATGTTAACCTGTATTAGTGAAAGTTAATCTTTTTAACTCTGAAAGTTAGCTATTTAGAATGAAGTTGAACAGAGAGTTTTGGCAGTTAGAAAAATTATGACAAATATTTGTTGCTTCTATTTTGACAGCTATGATACTACGAGATTGTAGGCGTCTAAAATTGTCTACGAGGGCCCGCACGAAACTCGAAGCAATGAATGGGCGAGTCAAGAAGATCCACCTAATCAGCTCGCGAGCATCGCTTAGCGCACTCACACCATTTAGCCCGTGTGTGTCGGTCAACGCGCGCACGTCAATCAACTCGTGCGCGCCGGTCAACGCGCGCACGTCAATCAACTCGTACGCGCCGGTCAACGCGCGCACGTCAGTCAACTCGTACGCGCCGGTCAACGCGCGCACGTCAGTCAACTCGTACGCGCCGGTCAACGCGCGCACGTCAGTCAACTCGTACGCGCCGGTCAACGCGCGCACGTCAATCAGCCCGCGCACATTGATCAGCACGCGTATATTAACCAACGCGCGTTCGATGATCGGTCTCGCGACAAAGCATACAAGTCAACAAATCGACCGAATACGCGACAAGAATAAGTCCCGGAAGAAAGAAAACAGAAAAAGGAAAAAGTCGGCGAACCCGCGCTAGCGCAGGACGGGATGATCCGACCCGCGCAAGCGCGGGACGGATTATTCCGACCCGCGCGAGCGCGGGTCAGATCGTTCCGCCGCGCAGTCTAATGTTTCAAAACACGTTTTGACGGTTTTAAATTGGTTTTTGCAGGGTTTATCGGTTCCAGGGGTTTCGGATAGGTCCGACCCGCGCAAGCACGGGTCGGATCTGTCCGACCCGCGCAAGCGCAGGTCAGACTAGTCTGCCGCGCAGTTTGGTACCCGAAACGCGTTTTGACGGTTTTAAAGTGGTTTTTCGCAGGATTCATCTGTTCCAGGGGTTCTTAACTGACTTGATATCATCCCCAAACGTGATTAGGCTGTTGTCAACTGAAGATAGAGCCAAATCACTTGTTCTCATCCAAATAACCGCATTCGAGGCCTATAAATATGAGCCAAGGCCTCCATTTTCGAGAGCTGGAATTTTATCAAGAGGACGAGGTGTTGCCGGATTGAAGAGTGAAGGAGCACGAAATTTCAGCGAAGGTCAACGAGATCCTGGCGAACTTCGGAGCAAAGGAGAAGCCGTTCGAAGGATCCGAAGCCCGTACGTTCGTTCCTTGAGATTAGGCTTGGTCGTAATCTCGAGAAGAGCCCTGATTTCGCTTTGTCGATCTCAGCGCTTCAAACTAGAAAACTTCCTCGGCGAAGGCGAAGCTCTGCCGAATTTTCCTACAACCGGATCTGATTCGCGGTCGTCCACGGATTAACCCCGGCACCGGCAAAGAACCCACGCAAGCAAGAGCCGATAAACGGATCTTGCGTTTATTTTCAAGAAAGTTGTAATCTTTTGTTCTTTTGTTATTTGAATTCATTTGTAACGCTTAAAGTTTAATGAAATCAATGACTAAGGTAACTTTCGACGGAAACAAACTGGCGACCACAGTGGGAGCCGACAGCCTTTCTGCGAAGGCTGACGTGTCGCAACCTCGGATCCCGATCCCGGTTGAGACGGAGGTCGAATATGAGTTCGACCAGCAGAAGTACGAGGAATACTTGTCCTCCTCCTCCAGACCGGCCTCTCCTCACAGA